CCCATCCATATCACTAACATGACCCAAAGAGATTTTTGGTGAAAACCTGATCATTAATATTATTTCTTCATCATTGTTCTTTTGATATCAATGTATATCTATATATATATGAATCTATATCTCACCCAGGCTATTACTATATAAATAGTCTCTTAGGATGGCACCCAGTCTATTACACAACTATTCTATCAGAAGGTCAATGAAAATCATTTTTACTAATAAATATTTAAAAACTTTAAACTTGAATTGGACATACTCAAGAAAAGGAAGATTTGACAAATAAATTTTGAAATAACCTAATAGCACACACAGCCTACTGCAGTGGTTTTTCAATGATTATTTTGCCTCCTGGTCCTTAAGAAATACATTTGACATTGCAACTCAGGACACGCCCACATAACTGAAACGAAAGTTTCACGGAACAATATTTTCATGGAACCTTATTACGTGTAATGCACATAATGCTATTTTCTATTGTATTCCATTTCATTTTTTTAAAATTGCTTGTCAAGATCCATTAAATTTATTTCACAATCCACTAATGAGCTGCAAACCAAGATTTTAAAACACCAGCCCAAACAATAATATACATTGTGACTCTTAAATGGTATTGCTAATATAAAAAATATTGACACCAAGTGCAAGACATTCTACAAGACACATTGTACCAATTGCATCCAAGACAGTTATTGTCTCTCAACCTTATGACAATACAATTATAAATTAAGAACAAATGTCTTTCTCTCTCTCTCTTTTCTTTTGCTTTTTTTTTTGGCATTTAGAACATTTTAGGAGACTTACACTTCAATATCCAGAAACACGTATTTCTAAAAAAATAAACCAGTGCTATTATAAAATACTTTAAGAACCCAAAGATTCCTTGGGTTCCCTAGTATTTCACAATGATAGGTTGACTAATTTTCCATTTCTAGGACTTGGTGTTGGCAGTGGGAAATGTAGTGGACCAACTGTGTCAGTCCCGTGTCATGTTCATCCCTTCAGGGACCAATTATATGACATTGTCCCTCCTATATAGAATGAGAAAATGGCCCTGCTCAATCTCTACAATACGGAACCAGGGATTTTAGACATCTTTCAACTACAAGACAGCAACACACACAATCAGGTCTTTAACAAATGCCTCTTCATACTGGCAATAATAATATCAGATAGCGAGGCAACCAGGTTCCTGGAAGGGAAGCCAGGGACTAGAATGGCCCCACTCTCTGCTCCCCTGTGTGCCTGAGGCACAAACAGATGGTAAGCAATGGAAACAGTTTTTGTTTTTGTTGTTAAGTAAATGTATCTGGAACATTAAAAAAGAAAGAAAGAAACATTTTACAGAAGTATAGCAATCCAACCTATGTTTTGGAATCTGAGACTAAAATAATAGCCATTCCTTGGGTCTGCCTTTCACAGCCCCCCACTTCTTTCTTACAGGTTGGCCCAGTCACAGCTCAATGTGCTTTTTTGTGTGTTATATCATCTGGTGTGGATAGACAGCAAGAACCTATTATAGAAGTTGCCCGAAGCCCCAGACTATCTCACAGTTACGTTGTTTTACCTAGTTTCTGGCTCCTACAAGGCAGGAGGGGGAGAAGGGGAATGCATTTCACTTTTTCAACAGGAATTCTTCTGGTTTGCATTTTTGTAATGTAAAATATTATGTATTCCCATCAATGGTTAGCCTAATGCCTCCATGATAACTATCATTTATTAAATACTATTGTATAACCTGTGTATACGAGTGCACGTTTGGAGGCAGAGACACATAGAGTTTAAGTGATGTATCTAATGAAGTAGCCCATTTCTATTTTATCCACATTTTAGAGGTAATGTAACTTGTTCAATAGGACACAGCTAGTTACTCAAAGCCAGTTTTCTAAATCTAGATTAGTATAATGTCAAAACTCATGCTATTTTCATGTCACCTGTGCTCAACATACTTTTCTAATTGTCTTTTTTTTTTGGTTTAATTAATAAACCTTATTTTTTTAGAACAGGTTTGGGTTTACAACAAAATTGAACAGGAAGTAGAGAGAGTTCATACAAACTCCCTGCCCCCTCTGCCCTCAGTTTCCCTAGCATTAGCATCTTGCATTGGTGTGGTACATGTGTTACAGCTGATGAACCCAAGTTGATACATTATTAACTAACGTGCATAGTGTACATTAGGAGTCACTCTTTGTGTTGCACAGTTTGATGGGTTTTACCAAATGCATCATGTCGTGTACCCCCTGTAGTATCATGCAGAATGGTTTCATGCCCTGAACATGTTCTGTGCTTCACCCGTTCATCCTGCTGCTCACCCAGCCCCTGCCAACTCCTGATCTTTTCACTGTCTCTATAGTTTGCCTTTCTAAAATGCAGGAAACTTGGAATCACACAGTATGTAGCCTTTTCAGACTGGCTCCTTACACTTAGTAATCAACATTTAAAATTCTTCCATGTTATTTCGGGGCTTGATAGTTCATTTTGTTTTATTGCCACACAATATTCCACTGTATGATGTACCAGGGTTTGTTTATCCATTCAATAGATATTCTATTGAAGAATACTTGATTGCTTCCAATTTTGGGCAAGTTCAGGTTTTTGTGTGAACATAAGGCTTCAACTTCTTTGGGTAACTACCTAGGAGAGTGATTGTGGGTCACATGGAAAACCTATGTCTAATTTTGTAAGAAGCTGCCAGACTGTTCTTCCAACGTGGTTGAACCATTTTGCATCCCCAGCAGCAGTGAGTGAGTGTTCTTGCTCCACATCCTCGCCAGCATTTGGTGCTGTCAGCGTTTTTGTCTGGACGTGCTGCAATTTGTTTATCCATTCACCTACTGAAAGATCTCTTGGTTGCTTCCAAGTTTCCGCAATTCTGAATAAGGCTTCTATAAACATTCATTCATGTGCAGGTTTCTATGTAGACATAAGTTTTCAACTCGTCTGGGTAAATGTTAAGGAGTGCAATTGCTGTACCATGCGGTAAGAGGATATTTAGTTCTATAAGAAACCACCAAACTCTCTTCCAAAGTGGCTGCACTAGTTTGCATTCCCTCCGGTAATGAATGCGAGTTCCTGTTGCTCCACATCCCTGCCACCATTTGGTGTTGTCAGTGTTTTGGATGTTGGCCATTCTGATAGGTGTGTAGTGGCATCTCATTGTTGTTTTAATTTCCAGTTCTTTGATGACATATGATATTGAGCATCCTTCCATATGCTTATTTGTCATCTGTATATCATCTTTGATGAGGCATCTATTCAGATCTTTCACCCAGTTTTTAATGGGTTGTTTTCTTGGTGTTCATATTATATATGATATTCACAGAATATTGATTATATATAAAATAATATATGATGTTACATAATATACATAACAATATTACATTTTATGTTATTGTTATCTGTTGTTATTATTGCTATTTTGTATTATTGAATTTTTTTTAATTCTTCCTATATTTTACTTTTCTAGTTAGTCATTGGCATCCGTCTAGCACAGAACCCACTTGCATGGACCACACTCACTGTTCCCTGATTCCACTCAGGGACACTCGCCTTGGCTCACTGCACCACCACCTGGAAAGCCTGCCTCTAGATTGAGCAGTCAGAGTCCCACCCATATCCAATGCCATCTCCTCCCTGAGCCTTTGTTAATGCCTTCCAAGTACCCCCAGCAGTTAGCTTGGATCACTCATTCTTTTTCCCACTCTGCCTTGTTATAGTTATATGAGTAGCAATTTGACCTCACTTGTATATTAATTAGGAACAGAATTGGCCTAATAGTCATTGTATTCTTTAACCACTTACCACAGTACCTTGAATATAGTCAGCACACAGGATATCTATTGAATTATACAAAGAAATAGACAGCAGATGAACACCACAAGGAAGTCAAGAAGTTGGAGAGAGGGGTGGGTTAGAGTGATGTTGCAATGTCTTACAGATGCTGTAGAGGAGGTATCTTACTCAGTAACTGTTCCCACCTCATCCTTGCCTTTTAGATGAATGATAATATTTTAGTAATTAGTTTCCTTGGCAAACTTCTGCACATTACCTAATCTACACAGGCATGAAAGTCACATGCAGATTTGTAGTTCTGCCTGAAGTCATTCAGATTATTGCATCTCCCAGGATAGGGACATCTTCAGGCAAATTTCTGTAGAGGTCATTCAGTACAGATCAAATTAAGAATTTTGGTTGATGTGACTTTTCTTAAAAATTTTTAAATAAAAATAATACATGTGCATGTTTTTAAAAAAACAAATAACCTAGACGACTCTGTTTTATTCCTCTTTGTGCCATCTGGCTCTGTAAAGGAAATACTTCTAACCATTTTTGTTTTTCATCCTCTTGTTGGTTATGTCTTTATCTCTAAATGATCTGATTAAGTGTCTGTTCCTTGAATTTTTTTCAACCTTAAAAGGTATCTATTAGTTCCCTACTATAATAATATCTACATTTACAAAAAAACCTATAAAGTCTCCTTTAGAATGAAAATTTTACTTTTTATCTTTCTAGCCTGCACTATAACCCTCTCTGGCCTCTGTTTTATTTAAATAAAAGTAACAACAAGAAAGAGGAGAACACATGTATTTTAAACATTATTACTGTAAGAAAACATAATTTAAACATATAGTCATATAAATTCTGGACAACCTCGAATCCACTTTTAGAAAAATCTATTTAGGTATTTTGATATATTTTACTTGTGTAACTAGTTTCTGGAAATGCATCAAAAGCTGAATAAGGGTGAGATATCTGTGGTTTTCTTAAAGTAGTCACCTTTAACATAGTTAAAAAGTTCAATGTGATCATTTAACAACTCTGATTTTCTTACCGCATACTATTCTGTAGACATAACCGAACAATGAAAGGAAGAGGATGATTGTAAAATGTCCCTTGCAAAAGGAAGAATATCATTGAAAATGTACTGACTGAGTTGATTTTAAATGTACCAAAAAGAGCCTCATGTCTGCCAGTGCGCTGACCTCTCTCTTTGGATCTTACAGAATGGATGACATATTGATTGGGGCGCCTCTCTTCATGGAACGCGAATTTGAGAGTAACCCTAGAGAAGTAGGGCAAGTTTACCTGTATATGCAAGTGAGCGCTCTCATCTTCGGAGACCCGCAAGTCCTCGCAGGCACTGAGGTTTTTGGAAGATTCGGCAGCGCTGTGGCACACTTAGGAGACCTGAACCAAGATGGATACAATGGTAATTTACACCAATGTGTGGACATTGTTTATGTGTCATAATTTTACATTTCTGCGGCATGAAGGAAACAATGGACATTTTGAAGTATGCACAATGTTGTGTTTGGCACAGTTATTATTGGTTTTTAATAAAGCATAAAAAATCTCATGGCAACTTAAAATATATATGTTTTACTAATTCGAAAAGTTATATGCACCCCTATGTTCACTGTAGCATTATTCACAATAGCCAAGATATGGAAGCCACCTAGGTGTCCATCAATAGACAATTGCATAAAGAAGATGTGGTACATATATACAATGGAATATTACTCAGCCATAAAAAAATGAAACCTTACCATTGCAACGATATGCATGGACCTAGAGGGTATTATGCTAAGTGGAGTAAGTCAGACAGAGAAAGACAAATACCATATGACCTCACTTATATGTAGAATCTAAAGAACAAAATAAACAAACAAAACAGAAACAGACTCATAGATACAGAGAACAAAATGACAGTTGCTAGATGGGAAGGGAGGTTGGGAGACTGGGTGAAGGTATTAGGAAGTACAAATTGGTAGTTACAAAACAGTCATGGGAATGTAAAATACAGCATAGAAAATATAGTTAACAATATGGTAATAACTGTGTATCATGCCAGGTGGGTGCTAATCGAAGGGATCACTTCGTAAATTATATAAATGTCTAACCACTATGCTGTACACCTGAAACTAATATAATATTGAATGTCAACTATAATTGAAAAATTTTAAAGTTCAAAAAAAATTAAAATATTTGTTTTGAATAATATAGCTGTTACATAGAAATTTTCTCACATTGATTTAGGGTGTCATATAACAGCTCTTAATACAGGCAGCAGTAATTTTTAAAATTCATATTTGGATTTAGTGACTCAGAGAAATAGAGAACCTTCTGTATGTACAGAGTCAAGACAAATAAATACCTGTTGCTATATTAGCAAGTATATTGCCCTCTGATTAACCTATAGGGGTTATGTAGAGGTGATGCTGAAATTTAATTGATTTGTAAATTTCAGCTGAAAGCTTCAATGTTTGCAGTAAAGTAGTATTAAATTCTTAATTTAGGGTTGTGGTTCTTCAAGTTAGGAATTTGAATGGCTTATAAGTGCCCTTTCCTCAGAAAATCAAGCAAGCTCACACAAAATTTTGCATATATTTTCAGGGCCTTCAGGCTAAGAACAAACGTCTTGTAGCTTTCTTGATTGAAGTTTGAGGAAGTAATAGGATTTGCTCTAGTATTCGCATCAGATCAGTGTTCACTAGGACCTTTGGCAGATATTGGTCTTTAGTATTTGGTATTGTTCTTTTATGATTTCTTTGAAAAAAAAACATTTCAGCAAAGCATAGTTAGTAACTTTTAAAGTATCATAAAACATAAATGCATATTAAAAGCTCAATGGAGTCAATGGAATTGTAATAGATATGTATGATATCAGGAGTGGGGGGCCATGGATGGGGGGAAGGGGGTTGTCACTTTGTGAGGGGTGAAAAGGATAACTATTGCATTGTTTTGTACACCTGAAAATAATAATAATAATAATAATAATAATAATAATAATAATAATAAAGCTCATGGTTCCAGGGAAGTTAAAAAAAGATAAGTTCATGTTTGACTGACTTGCTGTTTTAAAAAATTACCCCATTTCTGAGCACCTAGGTGAAACAAATAATGCTAAATTATCAACTGAGACATCTTTTTCATCATATTTTCATCTATGTGTTTTTCCTCTCAAATCCTTCACTATATTTTTAAGAGCTAAAAGAAACATTTTTAACGACATGTAAGGGGTTCTCCTTCTCTGAGCCTTGGTGACTGAGTATAAAGTGGGTAAATAATGCCAAACTTAATCAGGACAGATACAAATACTGTCCTGATTTAGAAGAAGCAAGGTCAGTGCTCCTTTCTACCTGCCATGTGACAATATCTCTATTTTCTACAACAATCTGAGTTTTTAGATCATTTATCTTTACCTGTTGAATGAAAGTAGATTTATTGGGTTGTCAGAAAAGTCATGATGCATTTTTGTAATGAAAAACATAGAAAAAATATGTCATGACTTTTCCAACAACCCAGTATAATTCTCATTATGTCATCAAAATCAATTCACAAGTTATTCAGTCTTATCAGATTTACCAAGGAATAAAGAGAAATGAATGAATAACAAAATGAGGACACATACTGTCATCTACTGTAGTAGACAATTATGTCATTGTGCTTTGGAACTCTTTTTCATATAAACTTAAGTATTTATGTTTATTGTTTAGAGCAATCTTGATGAGCACAGGTGTAGAAGATAATTTCATTCAAGACTAGACTTCAGTGGGAGTCAGTCAATAGGGCTTTCTCTAGGTTTCCCAGAGTCCTCAACTATAAAATGGGTCTTGCCTACCTCACAGGATGATGTAATCACTACATGATAGATTCTTTATGAAAGAGGTTGTTTACTTTTTTACTAAAAACCTCTCAAGTACCCAGCAAAGGTGCCTCACCTGGTCCAGCCAGCCCCGTGATCTGATAAAGGTCTCCCTGTCGCTCACTAAGGTCCCATGTGACCATCCTGGCTGCTCCTCAAATGGGCCAAGTTCTTTCCACCTTCAAGCCTCTGCACAGCAGTCCCTTCTGCCTGGGGTGATCTTCCCTCTGATTCCATATGGTTCATTCCTTCTTATCCCTAGATTTCCATCTCAATATCAGCCTTAGAGACACCTGGGTGGCTATCTCGTCTAAAACAGCAATCCAATCATTCTCCATCACATCAGTACTTTTAAGGTCTCTACACAGCATCTGTCACTTTCGGTCTCTTCCTGATTATTTCTTTATTCAAATTGTCGATTACCTGCACCAGAATATGAACTTTCTAAAAGTGGTGTCTATACTCTGGTTTCTCTTCAGATTGTATAAATCTTTTACCTTTTACTAAAAGCAGTGTCTGGTGCACAGCGGTCCCCACTGTATCCAACCCATAGTAGGCCCTCAATAAATATTGATACAAGACAACACATAACTTACTCTTGCTGCAGAACCTTAATAAGCCCTTCGGACTGTATGCTATTGCTCTTCAATTGCACTTAATTCTATTTCTAAAACATTCTTCTTTATGTAAAGACTATGTCCATGTGTCTCTGTTTGCAGACGTTGCCATCGGTGCGCCCTTTGCGGGCCAGGATCAGAGAGGCAGAGTGCTCATTTACAACGGGAACCAGCATGGCTTAAACGCCGAGGCTTCCCAAATTCTGCAAGGGGTGTGGGCTTCACAGGCTGTGCCTTCAGGATTCGGCTTTACTTTAAGAGGAGATGCAGACATAGACAAGAATGATTACCCAGGTAAGGTTTTCTTTCTTTCCCCACAAGAGAGGCCGCTTCCTAGAACGAGCCCCCATTCTCTGGGAAATGCATCATGTGTGAGCCGCTGTCAGACAGGCGAAGGCTAGGCTTGCCCATGGCACAGGTTTTTGTGTACAATTCCAGAGTGACTTTCATGAGAATGTGAAGGCAGACAAAACAAACACTCGCTTTCCTGTCAAGAAAAGCAAGATGGCTTTTTAAAACCTGCATTGGACATAAAATTTGTCAACTTTGCAACGAAAGTTTTGATTTGAAACCCCTCCATAATTTGGTCTCCCTTGACAAAGACAGCTTGCATTGAATGGATACCTTTCTAGAGTAATTGATTTGAACCCCCTAATTCCCTTTGGAGCTCATAGGTCCTATTAATTAACTGATGAACCTCAGCGTTTCTGTCCTAAAGCTCACATTTTTAGAGCATAAATATTTTCCAGCCATACTTCGGGGTTTTTCCAAAGACAGATTGAATATTTTAAAGGGAAGCAAAAAAGAACTGGTTCATGATAGAAATCATAAACCATCCTTGATTACGTAAATCATATTGAAAACTCATGGAAATCCATAAAGCAGAGAGACATAATTCATCTTTTGTGCATGCTGTATGAAAATATGGATAGGTCTTAAAGAATTGTTTCAGTAATCAGGGTTTTTAGCAGAGAACATTAGACTTCTTGGTTTTATGGTTCAATTTTCACTTTTATGTTGGTTATGTTAAGATGGTTTCAATAAGTACTTAGAAATCATTAATAGCTAACTGACAGCTTCAACTATTTATTAAAACCTTGTCTCTTTCCACCACCCCTCCCCTAATTGAGTATTTTCCATATGGAGAGCTTTTTCTGGTTTGGGGCAGAGTTCCAATCAACTTACTGCCTAAATATACATCACTAATTTCAATCCTTTAGCTTTCTCTTCCCCTCTGGGATCGGGAAAAAGAATACCACGACATATTCTTATAAATCTGCCAGAAATCTCTCATGGCTCTAACACAGACATTGTAGTGTGCTCCAAGCATATTGCCACTATATTGCATACAAATGCATCCTACCTCCGGCAATTTCAAGAGCCTTTAGTGAAATTTATTTTCTTTGGTTCTATTATACTAGCCTAATTCAGTGATCATTAGTGTTTTTGTAGTGAGGAGTCTCACACATAATACATTCTATTTTAAATAGTTCCCCAAATTAGGTTCCTTATGTGATTCCCCCCCCCAAATATGCAACTCCTGGGTTGCAACTTCAGACAGTGAATTTAGAAAGTCACTGCTCTTCATTATGCTTGTGGTTGTCTCCCCTTAGTGCCAGGGGACTTGACAGACAGAATGGCCATGCCTTCCAGAAGGTAAAGGAAATAAAGGATGTATGGGTCACATAGCCAGTACCTCGACTTCCTTTGAAGTCTCCTAAATAAGGGCCAGGAAGGAGAGAAATAGGAAACACCTTTTCTCTCAAGGAATATTCCCTTCAGAGAGGACGGAAAAAGGAATAGGATCGAGAACAGAGAAGCTAAAGTAAGCGCAATATGAGTCATCGGTCACTTACTCATTATGTCTTTTTTATTCCTTCTTAGCAATCAGAGAAAGGTCATTTGAGGCCATTTACTAGTCAATACCTTTATCTACTGAGCCTAATTCAATGTATAGTAACTAATGACATTTCTCCCATTTCTCACTATGGTGATTTACTGGGTGCCAGGAATGAAAAATACTCTTTCCTTTCAGCCCCTTAGCTATGGAAGGGTATTTCATTTCATATAAGTTAGGCCTGAACTGGGGTGATGACAATGGCAATTGAAAGGAAGGAACTGACAAAATAGTGTAAATGAAAAATAGACAAGACTTGGTCATGAATGGCTGTGATGGATGGTAGAGGAGGGTGGGTGAATAAGGAAGAGGGGACTTTAAAGAGGACCCTGGATCTTGATCTAGCATACCCAAGAAAAGTATGGTATAATGGGACAGACATCGGGAGATTCATTTATAGAAATATATAGATTGTATTATAGAAACAATATTTGGAATAATTTTTCTAACATTTAGCTTAACCCCTCCATATTTTTTTAGACTTCTTACAGTAAATAGTGTCATCAGCACACATACATGAACAGGAGTCATAAGTATTTTCATTGCTGGCACCAAAATCCTTTTTCCAATTCAAAAACTAGATGTGTTCAGGTTTCTACTCTGGTGCTCACTGGAAAACTAGGATTGGCCAGAGGAGGTATCTTGTACACATTAATTGAGCGAGAGCATTTCGGAGAAGAAACAGCTGTGATGGTCAGGAATCCCTAAAATTCAATGATCTAGTCTAATCCTGTTAAACATGATTGTATAACAAGGCCATCTGCTAAATGCACAGTCCAGACATTAGAGGGTGGAGGAGGACAGTGCTGGTTTTGTTGAGGAGCAGAAACCATACAGGCAATAAAAAACAGAGGAAAACATGGGCTGAATGCCAAGACTATCATTGTCTTGTTCAGACCCCTAGTATACGAATGATTATATCATGAAGCCATCTCAGACAATTATGCCAAATGAAATAAAATGACCCATTTTCTGTTTTAGTAAGTGGTGTGTAAGTGTGTGTGTGTATGTGCATGTGCACGCAAACAACCAAGCAAGAGAGAAGCTACGCATAAGAAGAAATGAAAGGATGGCTTTTACCCAAGAGAATAATGTATTTTAATCAAACCTTCAGCTCTTTGAATTAATATGAAGTTTAGTCAAACTAAGTTTAAATCTTATAATCAAAGTCTATTTTTACTTCTCTAACTGCTACTCAAGCTTTTTTATGAAAAGCAAAACATTATGTTCTTCTTGAGCAAGACTTTCATAATGTCATTATAAACACATTAGAAATTAGAAGATTACATTTCTTATAAGAAGACATTATGAATTTAGATTAAGTCAACGGAAAGAATTCTTGGACTTGAATCCAGCAGTGTCATAAAGAGAAGTAAAAATGAATGGAGAGATTAAAGAACCAGTTCTAAAACCAGTTCTCCCAAGATAATGTGACTTTAGTAACTCAACCTCTCTTTCCTCACCTGTAAGTGCTTCTCCAAGGGGTTTTTAAAACTCTAAACATCTCTGATTCTATAATCCAAGATCTAGACTTATTGCCTCCCCAGATTGCTCTCTAATATTGAGTAGGTTATTAAGGCTCCCTTTTTGGGATGGGGGGGTACTATTTGATTAAGCTAGACAAAACTTTTTTCTTAACATTTTCTTGAAAATAATTTTAAACTGACAAAAAAGTTGCAAAAATAGTACAGAGTCCCATAAACCCTCTCCCAGTTTCCTCTAATATTTAACATCTATAACCATAGTACAATTAGCTATTACTTAATCTATAGGCCTATTAGAGATTCTAATAGAATTTCACCATTTGTCCCACTAGTGTTCTTTTTCTAGCCCAGAATCCAATCCAGGATCCCACGTTGCATTTGATTGTCATGTCCCCTCCAATCTGTGACAGTCCCTTGACTTTTCTTTGCTGTCATGACTTTGACACTTTTGAAGAATATGGCTAGATAGTTTAAAGAATATCCTTGAATTTAGAGTTGTCTGATGTTTGCTAGTGATTACTTTGAGGTTATGTATTTTTGGCAAGAATACTACACAACTGATGCTATGGTCTTCTCAATGCATCACAGCCCGAAGTACATCATGTCTATTGTCTTTTTGTACTTTGGTCACTTGCTTGCAGTGATACTGCCAGGTTTCCCTCTGTAAAGTTCCTACTTTTCCCTCTGAAATAAGTCTCTTTGGAGAGATACTATGAGACTATGCAAACATTCTGTTTCTCATCATAACTTTGCCCACTAATCTTAGCTCCACTGATGATTCTTGCTTGCAACAATTGTTACTGCCTAATTGTGATTTTCTATTTCCAACATTCCTTCTACATTTATCAATTGCAATTCTAATGTGAGAAAAAGATGCCTCTTCTACCCATTTATTGATTCAATATGTTATATCTGTATGGACTCATGGATATTTATTTTATTTTATGGGCTATAATCCATTCCTATGTTTATTTATTTATTTGTGTTGCTTAACTTGTACTGTATTTAGCCAGTGGGAACTCCTTCCAGTTGGTTCCTTTGTTCTTTTAAGCATTCCCATCCTTTTATGAGCATTTCCTTACTTCCTGACACTACAGGATATGTCAGGCTCACCTTGTATGTTCCCTACCCCAGCCCCGGAATCAACCATTCTTCAAAGAGCTGTAGCTCCTCTTACTGAAGAATGGTGTTTAGAAACCAAGATCTGGATACTAAGTGTTCTCATTGCTGCTAGGTTGTCAGGTGAGACTTGTAATACACTGAATTTTATAGACTACCATGTTCCCCATATAGTATAGCTACATTTCACATCATTAATAATACTTGAAATCAACAGATTACATTTTTATTACTCAACCTATATTTTGTAAGTCAGCATTTTTGCATTTTAGTTGTCAACTACAGGTATTTAGGCAATGTTAATAATATTCAGCTACTATTGAGAACAGCCCATCAGTTTTTTTATTTTTAAAGATGATGACTATGAGGATGATGATAGCAGAATATTTACTGATTCTATAATACTCAAGAGACTGTGCTCTGGGAATACAATTTATTAATTTATTCAACAAATACTTATTGAGTGCCTTTCATGTGGCTGGCACTCTTCTAGTTTTTAGGATACAGCTCTAAATTAAACAAAGATCCTGCACTCGTGGGCCTGAGTTCAAATCCTAGCTGTAACAATGGCTGACTGTAAAACTTTGACAAGTTACTCAACCTCCTCAAGTCTCAGTCCTCTTTGGTAAAATGGGTGTAGCAGTGCCTAATATTATTCCCCCTTCAAAGGGGTATTGTAGGTGTTAAGTTAGATAGTAAGTATAAAGCAGTTGTCATTGTGAATAATGCCTAGTAGTAATCATTAAATAGTAGTTATAAAGGACATATTCATACAGTTTGACATAATCCATGCC